CACAAACATGTTGTAAGAACTAAGGAGAAGCACCTATAAGTAAGAACACGTCATTCGATGAACCGATATAAGTTTAATGTAGAAACGTTGCTTCTGTAAAATGGTTGGTGTGTACCATTCCGTGCTATCAATAAAAAACAAACAAACGCGGATCTAAAAGGCTGGGCTTATCGATATACAGACAAGTTCGTACACAAATGGAGTTGTGTGTTTTCAGAAAAAGCAGGCAACTGTGTGGAGCATAAGTGAAAGGCTTAACTTTTGTTATTTTATACCTTAGATACCAAACAACCAAGTGGAAGAAGGATGTACTGCATTAGTTATTTCCCTAAGTCCATATATAAATTTAGCTCTGCTGTAACGGACTTCCAGATTTTTTTTTCTTGTTCATCTTGAAATGCGTGTTATTCGGTGACCTAATGTTAGATAAGTATTAATGTCGTTTGCATGTCGTCGTCGTCTTGAGTAATACGGCACCAGTAAGCCTTATTGGGCACACCTCGATGAATAATCTAGTAACCATGACATTTAAGGGCATAAAGTAACTGATATTTTGACCCCCCCCCCCCCAATTAATAGTTCTCATTGAGTCTTTGCCTATAGGTTTTAACCTCTAAAATGCTCGAGTAAGGAAACAAATTATGCTAATATAATAATAAACAACGACTTACAGACTTACCTGAATAAGACGGACAAATGCTACACCGAAACGTGTGGTAATAAGTCATTTCATTATGCTTATAAGTCGTTGTTTGCCAACTTATTATTTACCTCTAGGATGATTTTTTAAATAATATTGTTTCAAGCTGTTGAGATAGTTTTCAGTAGCTTCTGGGAAGGATCTTTTATTAATACATCGATCCAACACACAAGTCTAGTTCATGCCGTGTTATTTTAAATAGCCAAAAAAAAGAAGAATTTTTTAATATCGATCTGACATTAATATCACTTTTAAACCAACTATAAAAACAGAATGTGTTGTTTAACGGAGAAACTAGATATTTCTAAACATAAG